TGATGCTGTAATGACGATGATGTCTGAGATCAGCCAACAAAATATTATTTTATACCCAAAAATGCGAATGGGTATTGCCAGTACCCATGAAGCAGGAGCCTAAAGAAATCAATCCTTTACTACTAAAAATACCTCAGGACATTGTTAACAAATTTATACAGAGTTTGATTTTTAGCCATAATAAAATTAAACTAAAGATCAGTAACAGAAAGACAAAGGGAAAATTTCTAAACAGTGGAAATTAAACAGCATGATTATAAACAACCCATGGTCAAAGAAGAGTTCTCTAAAAAATACATAGAACAGAATAAAAAAGATACAATATATCAAAACACATAAGACACAGCTCAAGCAGTACAAGAGGAAATTTCATAGACTAAATGATTACATTAGAAATGAAGAAATATCTGAGGCCAATAGTTTGTTTCTGCCTCAAGAAAATAGAAAAAGAATAAAATAAACCCAAATAGAGTAGAAGATGTGTATGTAGAAATATATATGTGTGTGTAGAAATATATATATATATATAGAGAGAGAGAGAGAGAGAGAGAGAACAAAGCAGAAATTAATGAAATTTAATAAAAGAACATGATAGAAAATTAAACAAAAATCTGATTCTTGAATAAAAAACAATAAAATCGATAAACCGTGTTGTCTAGCAAGACAGACAAAATAAAAAGAATCAAGACACAAATCACTGTTAGGAATAAAACAAAAGGCATTATTAAAGATAATGCAATCATTAAAAAGATAATTTTAAAAACCTGCTGCTCATAATTCAACACCTTAAAATAAATGGACCAATTCCCCAAAAACCACAAACTACAAAACTTCAACCAAGCTGAAATAGATAATCCAAGTAGTCCTAAAGTTATTAAATAAATTAAATTTGTAGTAAAACTTCTTCCCAAAAAATCTCCAGACCCAAATGGTTTCACTGGAAAATTCTGCCAAACATTTAAAGAATTAACAGAAATCTTGCATGATCTCTTCCAGAACAGACAACAGAGAAGGGAAAACTTGCTCACTTTTTTTTATGACGTTGTATTACTATAGTAATATGAATGCACTATTATTCTTATGCCAAAATCAGACAAAGACAATAAGAAAGGAACACTACTAACAAATATCTCTTATGGACTTAGAAAAATTCTCAACAAAATATTAACAAATGAAATTCAACAGTGTATTTAAAAATATGCACTAAGACCAAGTAGAATTTATTACTGGAATGCAAAGCTTGTTCAACATTCTAGAATCAATTAATGTAGTTCAACATATCAACAAACTAAAGAAAAAAATTATATGATCATATCAATTATGCATAAAAAGCATATGGCAAAATCCAACACATATTTATGAGGTAAAATTCTTGGCAAGTTAGGAATAGAGGGGAACTAACTCAATTTTATAGTGTACCTACAAAAAAAACTATAAGTCACATCACGCTTTAATGGCAAAAGATTGGATTTTTTTTTTTTCTCTAAGGCAAAGGTATCTGTGCTTACTACTGTTATTCAAAATAGCACTGGAAGTTCTAGCCACTGCAATAAGTAGATTTAAAAAAATTAAATGCAAACAGATTGTAATAGAAGAAATAAGGGCATTCTTATTTGCAGAAAACATAATTGCTTACATAGAAAATTCCAATGAATCTATTTTTTTAACCTAGAAACAATAAATGAATTCAGCAAGTTCCCAGGAAACAAATTCAACACAACAGATGCAATCTCATTTCTATATACTAACAATGAATGTGGAGATACCAAAATTTAGAAATACATTTTAGAATTACTACCAAAATGAATATGTGGTATACACATAACAAAAGATGCACAGGATCTGTATGTTGAAAATTATAAAATGCTGACTGAAGAAATCAAAGAATCAAAGTATATGGAAAGACATATGATATTCATGAATTAGAATATTCAGCATGGTAAAGATATCAGCTCTCCCCAAATTGAAAGATATGTTTAATGTAATTTCTGTTGAAACCTCAGACAAATTTTTGCAGATATACACAAGGTTATGCTAAAATTTGTATTGAAATGCACATACACTAGAAGATCTAAAATAATCATGACAAAGAAGAATGAAGAGGAAATAATCAGTCTACTTGATGTTAATGCTTACTATATAGCTACATTAATTAAATGCTATGTGGTACTAGAAAAAGAAATGAACACATACATAAATGAAAAAAGTATGTAGATCAAAATATAGACCCAACACAAACAGGTACAAAAAATATGTCAATAAATATATCGATACATATTGATATCTATATTATATATCTCTATCAGAGATATATTTTAACCAATTGTTGATAAAGATGCAAAAGCACTTAATAAAAGAGAACCTGTCAACAAATGATGCTGGAGCTATAAAAAAACTAAATAGAAATAGATTTCAGATGTAAATGTAACACATAGAACTATATTATTTTTAGAAAAAAAGTTATAGGAGAAAACTCTCAGGACCTAGGGCTCAACACAGAGTTCTTAGACTTGACACCTAAAGCATGATACATACCTAAAAGAAAATAATGATCAATTACTCCTCATCAAAACTAATACTTTTTCTCTGCCAATGTTTTTGTGAAACAGATAAGAAGACAAGTTACAAACTGTAAGAAAATATTTGTAGATCAAATATTGACAAGGACTAGTTTAGAAATTATATAAAGAATTATCAAAAGTCAACAGCTTAGAAAAAAAGCCCAATTGAAAAATGTCCAAAAGACATGAATATACATTTCAGCAAAGACGATAAGTAGAAGAAATAGTCAACATTCGTAGTCATCAGGGCAATGAATACTAAAACCACTGAAGTATCACTGTATGCTTGTCAGAATGCATAAGAATTTTTAAAATAATGACACCAAATTCGAAAAGAAATCAGAAAAATTAGATCACTTATATTTTAATTGGGATAATGTAAAGAGGTACAGTCACTCCAAAAAAAAAGGTCAAATTTTTTCAAAGCTAAATGTGCAATTAGTTTCTGTCCCAGCAATAACACCCCTGGGAATTTATGACAGATAATGAAGACATACTCACACAAAAACTAATACACAATATTCAAGCAGCTTGATTTGTCATAGCCAAAATCTAAAAACATCCCAGCTGCTCTGCAACAGGTGACTGGTTGAACAAATGGTGGTACATCCTATATCTATGGAAATGTATATGTATATTCCATAAATAGTATCTATAGATATATATCCCTATAGATATATATGTAATATATAGTTATATATAATATATATTAATATATAGTAATATATAATATATTAATATATAGTAATATATCTTTCTCTATAGATATATATCTATTAATATATGTTATATATATATTATATATACATGGATATATCTATATATTATATATTATATATAGAAATAGATCTACTATATAGATATCAGTAATATATAGATGCAATATAGATATATATTTACATATTATATATTATATATAATTACATGTAATATATTAATATAATATAGAGATATAATATATATATATATAAAAAAAATCTCACTCAGCATAATTCCCTGGAGGTTCATCCCTGTAGCATCTATCAATGATTCACTATACCTTTAGTCACTGAGTAGTATTCCATGGGAATATATCTCTATCCCTAAGGATGGATAGATAGATCGATATATATTGATATCTATATCATGTCTCTGGATATATTACTATGGAATACTACTCAGTGACTAAAAGTATAGTGAATCATTGATACATGCTACAGGGATGAACTTCCAGGGAATTATGCTGAATGAAAAAAGTCAATTTAAAAGGTTACATGCTGGATGATTCTCTTTATATAACAATCTTGAAATAACAAAGTTCTAGAAATGTATGAATGGATGCCAGGGATTGGAAACCAACAGGTGGGGGATGGGGTACGTAGTTATAAAGGCACAACACAAAGATTCCCTGGGGTGATGAACTGTTCAGTGTCTTCGCTGTGGTGGTAGATACAGAGCCCTATAAATGTGACTATTTTGTATGGAGCCAAATACACATATAGTCACACACACAGGCAGGTGTATAGGGAAATCCGATTAAGATGGGTGGATTGTACCAATGTCTACTACTCTATGGCATTGCAAAATGTTATTATTTAAGGAAACTAAAGTATATACAGTATCTCTGTGTATTATTTCTTATGTCTACATGTAAATCTAAAATTAATAAGATTAACTCAATAAAATTTTTAATTTGAAAAATGGACAGCTCCAATTCTGTTTGATAGGACACATCACTAATGTTTGAAGAATAATATATTGAAGTTGGTAGTGACTGTGACTGGAAGACATTAAAAATGACTGACCTAAAATATTTTATGAGAATCTATTTTAAGTACTTATCTCTCAGTAATCAAAATTAATGACAGTCATTCAAAACTTCCTCCATAAGATTCTTCACATAAAAGGACTCATTTTATTTGCAAACAACTTCTAGTTTTTCATTTCCAAACAGAATAATTTTGCTTTAATACTTCCTTATAAATCTAATGATTTATTATATTTCTATGAGATTCTCTCTTGTTCTACAAGTTTTCTCCTCTTGTCTAACTCTGAATGTATTATGAGGATTACTACTTTCTTGTCCTTTTTTATATTTATATATTAATAATCTAGTTTTGGTTTCCAAATAGGTGTTCATACTATATATATATATATATGGCTCCTTAATATGTTATATGCCAAAATAACTCTAGAGGTGAAAAGGGCAATATGTAAATTTAGGATGAAGGAGTGCAACCTTGATTGTTTCTTTGTGAAAACATTACCCAAGCATCTCTCCATTTTATCTAAAAAAAGATCAAGTCCTTAGTTGAATTTATCCCACTGGCTATAGCAAATTTTAAATTTGCCTGAAAGAACATGATGGAATTTGAGTGGGTGCAAAGAACACTTTGAATCAAATGTAGATTTGTGTAAAAAAACTAAAAATTTGTTTATTTGTTAAAAGTGTTAACTTACTACAGAATGGATATATGCCACTAGTATCCAAAAACACAGTGGTCCTAACAGGTCCTCCTTTTATCCTTTCTTTCAAAACATCTTTAAATAGCTTGGCTTGATAACCTGAGATTTGAGAAATAGAACATTAGAAATTGGATTTCCATCAAATAACAAAAGTGTCAAATCACTAAAGTAACTAAAAGATCAGTGTGTATAATCATCATCATGATCGTCGTGGATTTTGATAGCTTAAAAAGCATTTTTTTCAAATAATGCAGCATTCCATTTATTTTAATTACAATAACAACTCTTAAATTCAGGATTCACAAATAAATCTGCTCCCTCAAAATCTTATCAGAGCTTAGCATACTCCATCCATATGGCTATAGTCCATTTGTAGAAGTTTTACTATTATAAATTCAGAATTTTACCTGTAATTCTTTCTAATAAATTCAGCAGAGTAAATTGACTACATAAAACTTAAACATACAATATAGCTCCATGAGTATAGATCCCTAATTCTCCAATACATATAATACATACAGATATGGCATGCGTGTGCATACATTATATATATATTATATATATAAGTATAGGTATACTTTACATGTACTATATACATATTTCAGATAAATATAGTATGTGTACATGTAGCATATTATAATATGTTGATATATTGATAAAAATACTTATAAAATAAACTTTATATTAATATATATTTAATATGCTTCATGTATTTCTTTGTTCCCATATTGCTACCTCCAAATTTGAGATTTGCATATGGTAGAAAGAATAGTAAATTAAGAATTCAGAGGTTTTACTCAAGTGCTAACTTATGCCTTTACGTAATTTATATATTCACTCTGGGTTACAATTTTCTCATTACATGGAAGAAGGATGGGACCAGAAAAACAATCCACAACAGGAGGTCTGAAGAAAACTAATCCCACATGATGTCTTACAGACAGAAAGGCCTATGAGAAAAATCAAATTGGCAATGCCTGAACGGTGCATCCCCTTCCTAGGGTGTTCTCAATGTGTGCTAATCGTGCTTCAGAGTTTGGTTTAATTTAGCCTTTGTAATCACTACCCATTCCTTGAACCCCTTTGGCTTTGGAAACATCTCTGGAGAATTCTGCCACGATACTGACCAGATGTTTACATGCTCACGGCATGCTTGGATCTGGTGCTCTCTTTGAAAAACCCTGAGCAAACAGCCTCTGAAATTCTTTCCAGTTCCAATATTATATTTTTATGTGGATTTTTTCTCTATAATTTCCTATTGGCAGGTTTTAGTTATCAGAAGTAGCAATACTGAACTGCTCTTAGCAAGCTTTATCCATTTAGAAGGTGTGAACCATGTAACCATGTTTCATGTCTACTTGCTGATAGCAAATAAGAAGCTAACCATGGCTCATACCTCTTCACTTGTTCCTAAGACCTCCAAAAAACAAAACAAAAACAAACAAACAAACAAAAAAACCACACCTCGGTGTTGCCAAGACTGTGCAAGTTTCTTTCTTTAAGTGAAAATATAGTTGGATGATAGTTAGATATTTTTGTACATCAGAAACAAGGATCATTATAAAGCCACCTAATCTGCCCACTATACTGAACATAAAAAGGCAGTTGATCATGTTCCTTTCATTAAATATATTAAAAATGTTTAGTAGGGAATGATATATTTACTCTGTACCACATCTCTACAGATAATTTTTCCATAAAATGGTCATGTATTAACAAGTAAACAGAGTACACAGTTTAGCTTCCAGCAGAAAATACTAAAAATTATGTTATTCATATTAAATAAGAATGATAGTAACTATAATAATCTCTCTTACCCAGCCAAGGACATGATTTTTCCTTAAAACTGTCACAGTCCACACATAAGCTAGTCTTGTAATCTTTGTATGAATGACAAGGAAATGAAATAAAATTGCAGTTTGTTTCCAAAGATGCCATGAACAAGTGAACTGCTCTCTCGTGGTTGCATTTAATGAATTTAATTCCTTAAGAGTTTAAAAAAAAAAAGCAAAGAACTGTAGATGTATTAATCCATGTTCAAGTACATTTAAAAACAAAGTAAAGATGAAGTTTTGCTAAATACTATGTACCTTATGAATATTACTGACTATAATACAGTTTTATGTCAAACCACTAAACAAACAGTACCAACGAAAACTTAAATGTAGTATGTCTTTTGCATGAGATTTATAATAAAATTTTAAAGTAATAATTAACACAGCAAAAATGTTTCATTTCAGTGTTTCACAAGCTCTACACAATGCTACTATACCTAATCACTAGTGTACACATCTTTTCCTTCTAATCCTGTACTCCTAACGTTTCCACCTAATGACAAAGATGACCATGAAACCAGGTGACATTAAAACGTTATTACCTTTCTTTTCTTTTCCAACCCCTTTTCCAACCTTGCACATCCTCATGCTTTTCACCAAACTTCTTTAGCTACAGTGGCCTTTGGTCACGTGTTGTTTGACCAGCTGCCGTTGTGGACCTGAGAACATTTCTTGCAATGGCTCTGATGTGAACCAAATTCCACATCTGGGGAAGCTGCTCGGCTATCTTTATGTACAGAACAATCAAGTGTCAAGAGATTTTAAATTTGTCTTTGTACAGTAATATTGTGATGGTTAAGATCAAATCCTGAGATCAAAGTGTTATTATATGATACTTTAGCTACGTGTGCTTCCTCAGTGACTTACAACTTCTCCTAATGTTTAAAATGATGAACTAAAATTATTAAAAATATAATATAAGAGGTCTCATCCATGACCAAATGGACGTCTACTGGTAATCTTTATGAACTAAGCATGGTCAAATTAAACCACTGTTAACCAATAACTCTCCTGAGTCATGGGCAATGGTGATGAAATCAAAACACTGCCTACAGATGAAGAGGGGGAAAGTAAGTTATTTTCTTCCGTCGTTTCAAATATTATATAATTCATTCAAAAATACTATCAGTATACCTGAGAAAATTGATTTAGGACAGCCAGGTTGTTTCCTTCCTCCATTTGGATAAAAATCTATATGTCCCAAGGGCTCTCGAATGCCTAAACCTGAGAAGAAAAGCACCAAGGATCATCATGTGTATATAATCGGGTGACTAGCTTGCACAAAACAAAATATCCTATAAAATCCATTCAAAGTTATTCTTTAAATATTAGAATTGAAAATAAGTGTTTTTATAAAGAGAAGGTTTACTTCTATAAATTCTTCATGAAAAGTATATTTCATTAATGTAACATGTTTGCCAGTCACCAGTTTACTATGGGTCAGTCACAGTTTTTTGTGGTATGAACACATAAGTGAAAAAAGAAATAGAGCAAAATGACTTGCAGTGACAAATACTTTATAGTGGAAGGAAACCATAATAAACAAGTAAATACAGAGTATGTCAAACAATAGTACGTGCTACGGAGAACAGTTCAGTAGAACAAGAGGACAGGAAGGGTCTAGTGAGGGTGGTAGTTGCATGTTTAAGTTATTTGGTTAAGGAATTTGCTACTTGAAGAAGGTGGAGTGGAGCAAAAATGTGAAGGATGTGAGGCGGTGAGCCCAGTGGATATTTATGTGAATATGCTCGGGGAAGAAGCCAGCGTGGCTGAAGCCTAATGTGTAACAGGGAGCTTTGGAGCAAAGGAAGCCAAGTCCTACAGAGCCTTCTCAATCAGTGTGATGATTTGCTTTCACTTTGGGTCATAATTTTTAAGATCTGCTGGTTCTGGATGCACTAACTGGAAAAAAATCTAAAAACTAAGCTGCCTCTCGGCTGGAGCAGTTTGAGTCAGAGTGACATGAAACTCAAAGCTTTGATTCAAGGGCTTGTGTAGCCCTGTAGATCATTGGGGCACCGGCGAATGTACTGATTCTGAGCCCGTTACCAGCATAAAACTCAGAGAAGCCTTAACAGTGAAAAGGGCTAGCAAGCCCAGAATACTCAGGACTGTGATTTGATATAAAATTGTGCTGCCAAATAAGATTACAATGCTTTAATCTGGGGCACAAAAGATTTCCTACAACACAGTGAACTCATGAAAGAGATCAGTCATAAATTTAGTATAAAACAAAGATAAATAGATGATTCTGACAATAAGGGTTTAGATGCTGCAACTCGACTTAGTTCTAGGATGTAACAGAACCTCTGATGAGTTGTTAGTAGCACGTTAGAACACTGGGCATGTACACTGAGGCTGGGGAGAGGGGAGTTTTAAAAACAAGAAAAAAAAATTAACAGTGTTAGAGATCTGTGAAATTTCCTCATATTTGAACTCCACATGGATTTCCAAGACTAGGGGTTTCCAGTTTGGAACTGTCATTTTCTCCAATCTGCCAATGAAGGAGACTCAAACCAACAGCGCTCCTTAGGAATCAGAGGGAAAAAAAAGAAATTTGTCATTAACTTACAAGCAGCCCTTGATTCAGGCATGCTATTTCCCTTTTATCAGATGGATGGGGGGCAGCTTGGTCTGTTAGATCATTCATTCTCTTGGTTTCAAGAAGGGTGGGGAGAGCAGCTATGACTTTTTAATTTTCCTTTTATTGTAAAATATAAGGCACATGCAGAAAAAGAACATTCAACATAAATCTATAGGCTAATTATTGTAAAGCAAACAGCCATGGGGCTACCACACTCATGTAAAGAAATAGCACCTAGAAGCCCCCATTGTGCCCTTACCCAGTCACAAGTTTCTTTCTGTCCCCTAATCGCTAACCCATCCTCTTTTTTAAAATAAAATCATTTGTTGATATTATTTTATTTTATTTTATTTTATTTTTTGAGACGGAGTCTGACTCTGTCGCTCAGGCTGAAGTACACTGGCATGATCTCCGCTCACTGTGACCTCTGCCTATCGGGTTCAAGCAATTCTCCTGCCTCAGCCTCCCGAGTAGCTGGGACAATGGGCACGTGCCACCATGCCCAGCTAATTTTTGGTATTTTTAGCAGAGATGGGGTTTCACCATGCTGGCCAGGCTGGTCTCGAACTCCTGACCTCGTGAACCCCCTGCCTCGGCCTCCCAAAGTGCTGGGATTACAGGTGTGAGCCACCGCACCCAGCCTGTTTTTCTTCTTTACCTTCTAAGGATGACTCCCAAAACCCTATAGTTTAGATTTCCCCTTTGAAAAAATATATGAACTTACTCATATTTTATGTATGATTTTGTTTCTGGCTTTTTAGATTATTACTATGTTTGTGCTATTAATCCACATTGTCAGGTGTAAAAACAGTAATTTATTGTCATATAGTATTTCATTGTATGAACGTATCACAATTTATTTTTCCATTCCCCTATTGTGGTACATTTGTGTTGTTTCCAATTTGGGGCTAATGTGTTCAAACTGTGAACATTTTGAACACATATATTAAAGCATATGTGAAAGTACATCAGTTGGTTATATACCTAGGAGTGGAATTGTTATAGAACACGAGTATCTTTGATTTAATACACAATGCTGAATAGTTGTACCATATCTTTGCCAATAAATGCTCTTGTCAAACTTTTGAATTTTAAGCATGTGGCTTCCTATTTGGGTTTTAATTTATATTTGTTTCTAACTTTAAGAACTTTTTATACGTTTATTGCCTATTCAGATGTATCCTTCCTAATGTCCTGACTTTTTCTTAACGAGGTTATCTTTGTCTTTATTATTGACTGATAGTGGGTCTTTATTATCTCTTTTCCTGCTTTTTTTTATGGCTTGCTGTTCACATTCTTAAAGTATTTATAACATTCTCAATTTTTATATAATCTGACATTTTAATGTTTTCATTTGGGTTAGAGATTTTTGTGTACTTTGGGAAAATATTATTCATTATCCCAGTGTTATGAAGGCTTTAAAAATAATTGCTCATAAACCATTTATTTTCCTTTCACATTTATGCATACCACAAGGAAATAATTTTTGTGTTTTACATGAGTGCAAGGTTTTTTTTCAGCTTCAGAATCCAGTTGATGGAAACAGAACCACGTAATTACTGATACTAGCTGTGTCTTCTCTTTTTGTTCTTTCTGTTTTTTCTCTCCAAGAATTTATTTTTAGAAGAGACGTATGAAGTTCAAGCATTCTATGTTCCTTTCATTGTATGGAAAGAAGGCAAAAGTGATATAAATAAATTTTAAAATAATAATTAATTTTTATCTTTTCTAAAGTGCAAATTTTGGCTTTTTAAAGCATCTGCAATTCATAATTTTTATTCCATTAATTTCTTTGGTATGTTTAATATTTGCTTCTTTCTTCATTTCTGTGTGTTTATGTTGTTTAATTCTTAATTTTTCAAGATTATTAGATTAGTGATTGATTTTCAGCCTTTTAAAATAGCTGTACTCAAAACCATACATTAACTTCTAGACGTGACTTTTGCTGAATCCAAAAAGTTTTAATATGCAATAATGTGAATATTCAATTCAAAATATTTCATATTTATGTTATTTATTATTGTATTCATTAGTTATTTTTAAGTGTGATTTTTCACTTTCAAAAATGTATGGATTTTAGTTATATTTTTGTTATTTATTTGGATTAAGTGCATTAAAGAGAGAGAAGATTACTCTATGATTTCTACACTTTGAAGTGTTTGAGAATATTGTTTTTTTTCAGATCCAAACATTTTTGTTTGCTTTCAATTCTTTTTTGTTTGTTTGTTACATTTGGCTAATGCCCTCATAGCTCTGATTATATTTACTAATGTATTCTTTTTTCTTTTTTTATGATTATACTTTAAGTTCTATGGTACATGTGCACTACATGCGGGTTTGTTACATATGTATACATGTGCCATGTTGGTGTGCTGCACCAGTTAACCTGTCATTTACATTAGGTATATCGAAATGTTTCAGCATTTTTTTAAGGCTTGGTATATGGTGAACTTTAGGTAAAATATCCATGTGTGTTTCAGAAGACTGTAAATTCTGCAGTTCTCAAGTGTAATGTTCTATAAATGTCTATGAGATCAATTGTGTTAATTAAAATTATTCACTATGATTATGCGGTTGCCTTTTTTTTGTAATGTGTTATTGTTAATAATGCATTACGTATTTGAAGCTGTGTTATTAGATGGATACAAATTAGAATTGTTATATCTTCTTTGTGAGTTCAAAGTTTTATTATTTTAAAGTCCATCCATATTTTTATTAGTTTGTATGATAAAATCAATTTTGTCTAATATAGATTTACCACCATTTGGAGGATAATATTTGCATATATTTTATCACCCTTCTACTTTCAAATATTTTGCTTCCTTGCTTTTATATATGTCTTTAATAAACAAGAGTTGGATTTTGTCTTTTTAATCAAGTTTGACAACCACAATATTTTAATTAGAGCATAAGTCCATTTATATTAATTGTATAGTTGTGTTTAATTTTACTATCTTATTATCTACCTTCTATTTGCTTTAGCTGTTTTATGCATTCTTTCTCTCTTTTCTTACCTTCTTTTGACTTCATAAAAAGTTTATTCAATTTTTGTCCTTCATTAGCTTGGAAGTACTCTTTTATTCTTTTCTTGCTAGATACCCTAAAGATTCAACATGAATACTATACTTATGAACCTCAGTTATTGAAGGTCACTTTCACCTTCTTTCTATACAATGAAAGGAACACAGAAAGCTTGAAATTCATTTATTGCCCAAAATCATATGCTATTTTAGCTTATTTTAATTTTCTTTATATTTCAAATCCATAAAAAAATTATTAACAGTATTTTATGCCATCAGCATATGCTTAGATTTAACTAGTTAAATTTGTCTGAAACAAAATACATTTATTCTTGAAACAGATTGGGATACTATCTTAGCAGTTGTTTCCTTTCACCATATGGAAGCAACCATTCTGTTGTTTCCTATATTCCATTGTTTCTGATGAGAACTCAGTTGTAACTCTGGTCAATCTTATTCACCTTATTTAAATAAACTTGTATGGTTTGATGATGGCCTTTTCTGCAATTCACTATCATTCATCTAAATGGAGATTAATCTTTATTATTTTTCTTAATTGGGCATTTTGAACTTGTGGATTGATTATATTACTCAGTTTGGGAAAATTATGAGAAAATATCTCTTTAAATATACCCTCTGTTCCATTTTTCTGCAGTTTTATTCCAGAATTCTAAGACAATGTAATATACCATCTCATTGCCTATCCTATGCATCTCTTAACTGTTGGTCTATATTGTCTATTCTTTGGTACCCATTTGCTTCAGTCTAGAAATTTACTTTTCACCTACTTTTTAGTTCACTTGCTCACTCTCTCTTTACCCATTTCTAATTTTCTGTTAAACCCATTTAATGGAAGTCAATTATTTTACTTTTTAGGGTAAGAATAATTTCATTATTTTCGTCAAATATAATTGATCAAATTTATACTCACTAATTTTCTGTTAAATTTTTCGGTCTTATCTTCTACCTTTTTGAAAATATTAATAGCAAAACTACAATTACTTTTGCACCAACTTAATAATAAGCACTTTTTTATAGCCAGTGTATAATAATCCCAATATCTGGAGGCCTATGGGTCTTGTCTATTTACTGTTGTTTCTGCTTTTTCTCATTCATGCTGTCGTGCGTCAAGTGTGCCTGGCTATCTTGGATGCTAAACATTTATTTTAAACTGTTTTTGTAAAATTAATTTGATATTGAATTATATGAATTTCCTACAAAGAAGGCTATTGTTTGCTTCTGTCAGATAACTAGGAGCTGTAACAATTCAGAATCTACCTAAACAAAAACTCAGTAAATGTGATTTTGGCGGAGGCAACTCAGATAACTAGAAGCTTCCTGCCGACCATAAGAAGGCTGGTTTGTTCAGCTTTACCCATGATTCTGTAATGTCCTTTGGAGTTCCAGACAAGAATAACAGATGAGATGTTTTGCAAACCCAATATGAAGGTTTCAAAAGCATCTATCTTTTGGATATTGGACTCATAATTTTCCCCAATATCTGAACAAGAATGTATGCCATAATTATGTAATCCACAAATCTGAAAGGCCACATGGCTTTTTGAACACTCACAACTGAGTAAAAATGAGGATTATTGGCAAGCAGAAGATGTGGTCATTGTCTAGTATTCAAGGAAAAGGCAGTTCACCAGGTATGTGCTGAGTCCACGCATATCATTCAGAAATTCCTCAGGACAGGTACATATGCAGCATCAAAAATCTATGTTTCTTATTTGTGATAGTCATAAAGATCAATCCAATGTTCCAACTATGTGGCCTCTAGTGGCAGGTTAGATCTGATAGGTTGCATCATCAAAAGATGTTGAGAATATAAGAAAATCCAAGACAGTTCATTAGGATAAGTAAAAAATACAAACAAAAATAATAAGAAGTATGAGGAACTAAGTCAAAAGGCCATAGGCAGAATTGAAGTTAGTGTTGTGGGAAGTCAGGGACCCCAAATGGAGGGACCGACTGGAGCCGTGGCAGAGGAACATAAATTGTGAAGATTTCAGGGACATTTATCAGTTTCCAAATAATACTTTTATAATTTCTCATGCCTGTCTTTACTTTAATCACTTAATCCTGTTACCTTCATAAGTTGAGGATATACGTCACCTCAGGACCACTGTGATCATTGTGTTAACTGTATAAATTGATTGTAAAACATGTGTGTTTGAACAATATGAAATCAGTGCACCTTGAAAAAGAACAGAATAACAGTGACTTTTAGGGAACAAGGGAAGACAACCATAAGGTCTGACTGCCTGTGGGGTTGGGCAAAAAGAGTCATATTTTTCTTCTTGCAGAGAGCCTATAAACGGATGTGCAAGTAGGAGAGATATTGCTAAATTCTTTTCTTAGCAAAGAATATTAATACTCTGGTAAAGGAATGCATTCCTGGGGGGAGGTCTATAAACGGCCACTCTGGGAATGTCTGTCTTATGTGGTTGAGATAAGGACTGAGATATGCCCTCGTCTCCTGCAGTACTCTCAGGCTTACTAAGGTGGGGAAAAACTCCTTCCTGGTAATTTGTGGTCAGACCAGTTCTCTGCTCTCAAACCCTGTTTTCTGTTGTTTAAGATGTTTATCAAGAAAATACATGCTCCGCTGAACACAGAAACTTATCAGTAGTTCTGCTTTTTGCCCTTTGAAGCATGTGATCTTTGTACCTACTCCCTGTTCTTATACTCTTTCCCCCTTTTTTTTTGAGATGGAGTCTTGCTCTGTTGCCCAGGCTGCAGTGCAGTGGTGCAATCTCGCTCACTGCAAGCTCCGCCTCCCGGGTCCACACCATTCTCCTGCCTCAGCCTCCTAAGTAGCTGGGTCTACAGGCGCCTGCCACCACACCTGGCTAATTTTTTGCATTTTTAGTAGAGATGGGGTTTCACCGTGTTAGCCAGGATGGTCTCAATCTCCTGACCTTGTGATCTGCCTGCCTCCACCTCCCAAAGTGCTGGGATTACAGGTGTGAGCCACCGCGCCCAGCCTCTTTCCCCTTTTTAAAACCCTTAATAAAAACTTGCTGGTTTGAGGTTCAGGCGGGCATTATAGTCCTACCAACATGTGATGTCACCCCCGGCAGACCAGCTGTGAAATTCCTCTCGTTATACTGTCTCTCTTTATTTCTCAGCTGGCCAACACTTATGGAAAATAGAAAGAACCTACATTGAAATATTGGGGGTGGGTTTCCCCAATAAGTTAGAGTTTCAGAAAAAATTCAGACAAGAGATTACAGATTAATTGGCCAATAGGTGTATTGTATGTGGATGTGCCAAGCTGATATAAAGAGTTAGAGATAATAAAGACATGAGAGGTTTGGATAACACTACAACCATGACTCCTTTGGTTTTGACTGCTTATAGAAGTAGGTGAACATAGATTCTAAATAAGGAGAAGAATTGTTACCACTGGAGTCTCAATCTATTGACAGGTAGTCATGGGGGTTTAAAAAATTGCATCTATGACATTTGCGTATTTCACACACACACACACACACACACACACACACACACACACACCCTAGTATGGTAGTATAGATTACCACAAGATTAATTCAGAGGAGCAATCTTAGTGTCACTGCCCTTGTCTCTATCTGAGCACCATATCCTCTCCTGATTCAGTTTATAAGAATAATATACTGGTTAAGTGCATCATCTGGAATCAAAACATATGATTTCAAATTCTGACTCTGCCACTTACTGACCTTACAACCTTTATTCTGGCTTCCTCAAATGTAAAGGGAATGATAGTTGTTATCTATCTAATGGAAATTTGGTAGGATTCACTAATTAATTCATACAAGCACTCAAAACACTGCCTAACGTATAGGAAGTGCTCAATAAATATTAGTATCAACAAATTCAAATCAGGAAAGGCATGAGGACAGTCTGTTTCTTAAAAGTGTCTGTTCAATTGTACTCTGGCCAAAAATCCAATACCTGTTAGAGATTTTCAGCTAAGATAATTTTAAAACAACAGAAAAATTATTTCCTTACATTTAAGGAAGACTATTCTTTATTTTTGGCTGAAATGCTGTGTTCAGTTCTAGTTGATATATATCACAGCAAGAAAATAAGTGGGGAGAATGGTATCCTAAATACATCAGGAACATTAAACATGGGGGAAAATGTGATCAAATCAATAAAACTGTCAACAGCATGAACAGAATGAACTCTTCGTTATTTATTTCAGTGTTTTAGGATGACATGACACCTCTTGAAACCTGAAGGAGGCAAACTGAAGTCAAAGAGTGCCATTTGACAATGCAGGAAATCACTAACCCTAAGAAATATTACTTGGGAAATATTATCATTCTATAATTACAGATTTAAAATCATTTTATCCATGATGTTTTTTCTTCTTATGCTCTCCCCTTGCCCAGGGTCTACATTTTCCTTTTCATTTTCAAATAATTAGGTAATAAATCCTGATTTGTTACCATGGGAGTTAGAATGGATGACATCCACAAACTTTGCATCAGTGTAATCCAATCTTCTATATGGTGGTTTTCTGGAGAACTTTGGCCCAGCAGGGTCAAGACCTGGAAAGCAAGAAAGAAACTACCAGTCTAATCAAGTCTACAGAGCTCCTTACATTGCATACTTCCATTATTACTACATTATAAACATAAAAAGCATTGATACTTTTAGTTTAAACCTATCCAAAAACATATCTAAGAACAAATGAAAGTGGATGAATAGCAGGTAACTTCATTATTTGAATAATAATACTAACCTTCAGAACTTTTCAGGTTAAGCCACAACAAAATATTGTAGGACTTTTTGGAGAATTTTTATGTGAGACTGAATTAGGAGTAATACAGTAGTTTACATTTAATAATAACTACAACTATTTCTCCTGAAGGAAAAAAATAATGAATACCATCTGGTTCTCTCTTGAACTCTGTACCTTACTAGCTCACTCCGGATTCATCTGTAGACAGACCTGAAAAGTTTTTTCAGGTGCCAAATATAATTTGGGCTATGGGATAAACCACGTTATCTTATCCATTTCTCATAAGACTTTCTCACACACTCTTAAGAAAAGGAAAATATATTTTAAATTCCATGGAGTGTGAATATTATTTCTGGGGTATCCTAATTTCTAAATAAAAATTCTAGGCTCATGAGTTTCTGGGAACTGTCAAAAAGCGGAGAGAGAAGATAAAATTCAGTTTCTTGAGAACATCTATACAATAAAGAAACAATCATCTTAAAAAAATATTTGAAAGTAAAATATAATGTTTTTCATTTCAAACACCTCTATTATCCCCATTTTATTTAACCCACTTGACTGAATGAGACAGAATCATCTATCTTCCTATAAATCATTCTGATGTAGAACTTCCATGTTTGGTGGCCTTTTAGTCCCTGATGATTGCCTGGTATTTGGGGCCATTCAAACTAGACTAATATGTGTAAACACAATTTAAGTACAAATTGAGCAAGTGTGGTTTTTGAAATAGAATGGGCTTTAAGCACTAGGGAACTTTGTATAAATAAATCCTGGCTAAACTGCTACTTCTTGACCCTCCTACATTCATTCAGTTAATTTGTTTTCACACATGTTTGTTAACATTAAAACTAATCAGAGTAAGGATATGCTTAAAGTTTGCAAAGGTGACTATCTCTATGTTATTCACCTCTCTCCTCCTTCTTTGAAACTTAACTAAAGACACTATTTTCTTTTATCAACACTTAAAGTTATTATAAGTCTTTTATGGCCAAATATATGAATAATTGCTTTTTTTTTTTTCAAAATAAAAAAGGTAAATTGGTTGAAAGGAATATTATCCTCCTATTCCTAAAATCACTACCACTCATAGAGGAAAGAATGAAAATCCATGTCAGCCTTATTAGATGACTGAGTTTTCTGGATGCAGTAACTTTGTTATAGAAATATGAAGGGGGACCCAGAGCCCCTCAAATTGGATACAACTCCTGATTCCTTTGTAGCATTCAAGTAAAAGTAAAAATTTTTAGAGAGTTGAAATGCATCAGTTTGTGATAACTAAGTAAATAGTTATATTCTTAGCTAATACATAAAGTATTTTTGTTCAATGGGTCACATTTACTTCTGTATTCTTAGGATAGCATGTCCTTAAAATTTAGCTGGGACTACAGAAATAGGTATTTTTCTCCCATTTCCATTTGGGTAACTTAAGCTCTGTTGAGAGCTTAACAAAACTCAGAGTCTAACTAAAACAAAGCCAATATTTAAATATAACATAGAAAATAATAAATGTTTGTACATAATTTCTATTGAGTAATTATTGTACCCACTAAATTTTAAGTGGCTGGGCACAGTGGCTCACGCCTGTAATCCAAGCACTTTGGAAGGCCGAGGTGGGCAGATTTCTTGAGGTCAGGAGATCGAGACCAGTCTGGCCAACATGGTGAAACACTGTCTCTATTAAGAAAAACAAAAATTAGCTGGTGTGGTAGCAGGTGCCTTTAATCCCAGCTACTCGGGAGGCTGAGGCAGGCGAATCACTTGAGCCCAGAAGGCAGAGGTTGCAGTGAGCCAAGATTGTACCACTGCACTCCAGCCTGGGCAACAGAGTGAGACTCTGTCTCAAAAAAAAAAAAAAAGGCTGGGCGCGGTGGCTCAAGCCTGTAATCCCAGCACTTTGGGAGGCCGAGACGGGAGGATCACGAGGTCAGGAGATCGAGACCATCCTGGCTAACACGGTGAAACCCCGTCTCTACTAAAAAATACAAAAAAACTAGCCGGGCAAGGTGGTGGGTGCCTGTAGTCCCAGCTACTCGGGAGGCTGAGGCAGGAGAATGGCCTGAACCCAGGAGGCGGAGCTTGCAGTGAGCTGAGATCCGGCCACTGCACTCTAGCCTGGGCGGCAGAGCGAGACTCCATCTCAAAAAAAAAAAAAAAAAAAAAAGAAAAAAAGAAAAACGAAAAAAAATTAGCAAAGTAACTTCTGAGACTTAAAAGTATGCTAAAGCAATAATTTTATAAAAATAATTTTACCTGTTATTCTTCCAAGTTGACCATTAAATATCTTTCCAACAAATCCACTGATATGAGCCCCTAAGCTCATACCTATGAAATGAAAATTGTCAAGAGATGCACCATGCTTCTGCAATTAAAAAGGCAATATTACAGTATTCATTTCAAGTAATAACAAATCATGCCTCCCTCATATATCAACATTTTAAAATTCATTATTTTTTCTGGCTTAATTCATTTTGAGGATATAGGGAAAGAGACTTTACAATTTCAAAACAACTATATCTTTGTTCAATTTTTGCCTAAAATATTTGATTTTTCTTTATTAATTTTCAATATTAATTTTTTATTTTAAAATTGTATCATCTCATGCAGAACAGTATATGCAAAATACAATTAATTAGCAAAGTGTTTTATAATAATCAACATTACTAGGTGTTTACTTTCTGCTAGCTACCTCGATATGGGCCTTATAAAGTTCATATTTAATACTTCCAACTTCATTATGAGTTATTCATTTTTATCCTAATGCCTAAAACTGTCAGCAGCACCTATTAAATGCTAAATAAATAACATTGGATCAATTCCTATTTTATTAAGGAAACAGTGTCAGAAGTAACGACTTTCCCAAAGCCACATAGATTCCTAAGACAAAAAGATAGATTCCAAGTTGCTGTGGTCTGAATGTTTGTGTCTCCCTAAAATTCATATGTAGGAATTCTAATCCTCAAGGTGATGATATTTGGAGGTGAGGCCTTCTTGTGGGTTGGGAGAATTATATCATGAATATGGAACCCTCATGAAAGGGAATAGTGCCCAGATAGAAGAGACCTGAGGGATCTCCTTCGACTCTTCCACCATGTGAGGACACAGTGAAAAGGCATAATCTATGAACCAGGAACTGGGCCCTCACCAGACACTGAATCTGCTGATGCCTTCTTCTTGGATGTCTCAGACCCCGGAACTCTGAGAAATAAATTTTTGTTGTTTACAAGCTACCTAGCCTATGGTATTTTGTTATAGCGGCCCAAATGGACTAAAACACAAGCCTAGGTCTCACTCCAAAATTTATGCTAATTTGCTTTCTTGTTTTATCTGATCAGGTTGTGTCAAAAACCTTAGGAAGATTCACAAAAGTTGAATAATGATTCTCACTTCAGAGATGATAAAATTAATTTCATGGATTTTAGGTGACTTCCCCTGATCACCAGCTAAGGAGTGATGCGTCCAATCTTCCAAGGCCGACCTCTGAATACCTCTTAGTCTCAGCTCCAGGAAGGGAAATAGGAGACTACATGAGAGTGTACTTTCACCACACTCTTCGGGAGCTGGTGTGAGACTTGTGGGCAGATCATGGTCCAGCCCACACAGTGACACGTCTGATGGCTTACAGAAAGATGTGGAGCACTTGCCACTAATGAAAAACTACACTCAGGCTTTCAAGGCACAAGGTTATGATTTCCTTCAGATCTCACAGCCATGCCCCAAAATAGGAGGGAGTATCTCTCAAGACTCCAGTGCTGCTGGTCATTTAAATCTTCCTCTGTAATACGAAGCCTCTGTAAGCAAAGTCACTGTTAGAATTTTATCTAATATTATAAATTTTCCTAAATATTTCTATTTAACATTCACATTCTCCACACTTTGAGGCATATATTTATTAGTTGAGAAAACACCAGTAACATCAGGAAAAATCAGTGATGTAATTAAGTCTGTTGGTGGGGATGGTTGAATCAATTATCTCCTCTGTCTGTCTACAGCAACGGTATTGTTTTGTCCAAATTTGGGGGTATAAAAATAATAATGAAAGTTGATCTTACTCAACGATGACTCAATGTCACCCACTGATTAAGCACATATATATTAATTCAATATTCATATAAATATTTTGGTAACATTTTGTTATTCTATATTTACAAATAAGGAAATGCTGCACAGAGAGGCTATGTAATTGTTCAAAATTACAGATGATAAAAGATGGACATATACTTTGAACCCATCCAGTCTGACCCCTGGCCACTATACATAACTGCTTCTTGGAAATGTTGTTATTTGTTCAGTTTTTAGCAGAGTCTGGAAAGTTCAGCACAACACAACTCAAGTTCAAATTTCAAGCCCAATAATGCCCCCAAACCAGATAGCACCCTTCCTTCTCTCAAGTACCCACGACTACCTACTTTCTTTTAGGATAGACATGGATCTCCCTAAGGGTTGACTTTGTAAACAAAAATCATTCACAATACAGATAACATAGAACTGGCCTGAACTTTATTTGATCCATTCAAATCCTGAGCAGACTCGAATGAATCTGAGGTCTGCCTCCAAAGGTGACAGAAGTATGCTACTTTTCGAAATGATTTTTTGCCCGTAATCCCACCAATTGGAGGGCCAAGGTGGGCGGATCACCTGAGGTCAGGAGTTCGAGACCAGCCTGGCCAACATGGTGAAACCTTGTCTCTACTAAAAATATAAAAATTAGCTGGGCATTGTGGTGGGCACCTGTAATCCCAGCTACTCAGGAAAACCACTTGAACTTGGGAGGTGTAGGCTGCAGTGAGCCGAGATTGTGCCACTGCACTCCAGCTTGGGCGACAGAGTGAGACTGTCTCAAAAAAAAAAAGAAAAAAAAAAAAGGATTTTTTCTTTACTTTTATCGATTCACACTTAATTATATGCCAATATTTTAGCCATATATTTTTAAAGATACTTTAAGAATGTAATAATTGTAAAGTTTATTTCCCCCACCCACATAGGATAACTATTTTATTCTGAGGTTGGTATAGGTAGAGTTAAAAGAAATCTCAGAAGATTTTTAAATAAAACATAATAACTACTAAATTTTAATATAATGTTTTAAAAATAACACAGGATATTTCTAGGTCTAGAATTATTCATTTAGACAGACAAAGAAAAGATGGCTGCATACATTAGTATATTAAACCAGTAATTGTTAATGCTTATGGGGAAAAGTATATCATTTATTATCACTTTGTGGTATTGAATGTAACACACTGTATATTGTATAGCACGTATAATACATAAAATTCCAAGACTTACCAAAAGATTTTTAATGTGCCCACTCAAACTCACAGCAACTTTTCTGGTGTTTTTAACCGCTCTATCATAAATAAAAGTTGTAGCACCTCGGTTCCAGTCAACTACAATTACATTCATATCTTCTTCATTCAGCAAAATGCTTACGAAGTTCTGAAGCCATGATGGGATGGAGCCCATTGGTCTGTATCCATGAATAAGCCAGACTGTTTTCTTTTGTGTGTTGAAATTAACATTAAGTGAGTTATTGTGTTCAAACAGTGGCTTAGCACAATTTAGGTTGTTCCTTGTATACATCATCAGAATTATCTCTATTCTTGGAATAAATAAATCTCTGAAGGAATCCTTTATACTTAGATGAGAGAATTCAAGGCATGGTCTTTCATTCTCTGAAATAAGAAAATGTCAATCAAGTTAAGTACTGGAATAATATTTTACTCCTGTTGCTGTTGCAAAGAACAGAATTAAATGTGGAGTGTAGGGAAGACTTCATTTCATTAGCCCTTTAACATAATTTACTGAGCAACTGCAATGTTTAAGGTAATGCATTAATTATCTAAAAAGATTTTCTGAACTAAAAGTAATGGAAAATACAAATGTGATTGGTTAAAAATTTAAGAAGAGATTTTTATCTGTACAAAATGTAACAATAATGGTGTGAGTGAAAACAGTAAGATTGTTAATAAAGTGCAATGGGTACTAATCAAAGTCGATAAATTGATCATAAACTTTAACAAAAGTTTTACAGAATAGTCCTTGTATAATAAGCATTAGAATAAAATATACTTAACCTAACGTCATCAATACAAAACAATAAAGTAATATTTTCCTCATAAAATTTAAAATGTTTTAGAAAATTAAATAAATATTAATATAACATAAATGTTGAGATCATAAGTTGATACAACATTCCTTTGTAATTTTACATGCGTGTGTTTACACATAAACTTAACAAATCTTTTTCTTAATTTTCTTTCTAGGACTTACCATTTGTAATAAGTGTAAAGACATTAATCACTGGGTTATGTATAATGGGACAAAAATGTAAAACATCTTAAATCTCATCCTTATAGTATTTTCATCCATGTGTGCATTCTATCACTATTAACTATCTGTCTACATATTGCTCTATATACTTATCTATCTACCCTAGAAAGAACTAGGGCAGAAAATAAAATAACTAAACCAGATTTATAGTAAGAGTCATTGCTAGATAATGAAATGATGACTGCCTTTTGTTTTCTTTTTCACAGATTTTTGTGATTCTATTTTTTTTCACAATAAGCAAATAATCCCCATAGTGTTTTTTTTCCAGATGATAGTAATATGTTCGTACTGCTTCTAGCACTTTAATTTGATAAGAATATTTAGGAAATAATTTTTCAATCCATACCAAAAATTAACAAAAGTATTAGTGCACTTTATGCCAGTAATTCCACTTTAAAGAATCTATCCCAGAAAAACTTAATACTGAGATAATATGCATTTCCTACAATAATTCTAGTTTTCAAGTATATTCACAATATTGTCACAATTGATTAGATGAAGTAAAATAAGGAAAGCAATGAAGGAGAAGCAAGACTTGCATTCCATTCCTATATTAACAGCTGAGAGATATTTGGAAAAATTATTTCATTTGTTGTAAATATCAGAGAATGAGGAAGAGAAATATATTGAAACACAATACAATATGAAAGCAAGCTACACTGTGCAAATTGTGTGGGAAATCTATACATCCACCTTCCCACCACCTGGAATTCTGACAAGAATTTAATACATATCAATACCAATCAATACATCCAAAGTCCTGGTCCACTCCAAGCTAAAGTCAATTTTACCTGGCCCTAGAAAGAGTAATGAGGAATAAACCAGTAGGATCCTGGTGATAAATATAACAGAAATAAATCATCACCTAATACAATCAACAAAGATATCTATTATCTATTAACAGATACACAAGTATTTTTCATTAGAATGCAAGAAAAATTACATCTCAAAAACCGGAGCAGGAGTGAAAAATACAAAAATTAGCTGGGCATGGTGGTGCATGCCTGTAATCCCAGCTACTCGGGAGGCTGAGGCAGCAGAATCCATTGAACCAGGGAGGCGGAGGTTGCAGTGAGCTGAGATTGTGCCACTGCACTCCAGCCTGAGCAACAGAGTGAGATCCGTCTCAAAAAAAAAAAAAAAAAAAAATTAAGAAAACAACAATAGGATCAGATGAAAAACACAGTAATGAAATATTCCAATTCAGAAAAAGTAAAAATGCAATTGCAAAATTAAAATCTGCATTATAAATGCTATAACAAACCATGGAAAGCTCTTCTTATAGTAAGAACTGAAGAAAGAAAGATATTAAAATTATTAAGGGAAACACAGATAGAGGACAGGGTCTGCTTATTCAAATTAAAAATGATTGCTGTTTCTCTGAGGTGGGGTGGTAATCATTTGAGGGTAAGAGAAAGTAGCAGCTACAACAACTAAGGAAATCATTGTATACAGGGATTTGCACATGGAAAAGGCTCACCATAATCTAGATAAAATCGGTAAATCAGACTCACCAAGAGACTTCCTAGAAACTGGTTTGGATTTCGATGAAAGAGAAAAATACCCTAAAAATATCAAGGCAGAAAATCCAAGTTACAAATTTCTATTTGTATGAAGGAATAAAGTTCTAATGACTTCATAATTCTCTTTTTTAAAATAAAACATGAGATAGATAAAAACGTCATCAAGTGGAATGTTTTATGCCCTAATAATTTTATACCTTTCCTAAAGTACACCACTCATAAAAAGCATAGTAAAGTCCCTGACATTATCACTATTAAATAAATGTAGATTTATCAAAGACAAGATCCAGAGAAACTTTCGGTATACAAAGATTCAAAGTGAGTATGGAATAAAATTAGATATTGATTTTAAATTTATGAAACTGGGTAAAACATGAATGCGGTATCAAAAATCATGCTTGTACAGTATTTCCAAATTATACTAACAAGATGAGATGTAAGTTAAAAATACAGAGGAAGTAAGCTTGTTGCAAAAATTCATCAACTGAGGGATTTGCAAGATTATTATTTTTTGACTTTCATAGATACATAAGTAGGGGTTTAAAAAAGATATTAAAAACCTTAAATGTTAAATGCTGTGCTATGTAAAATAGTACACATAAATTTCTACACACTAGAAAATATTAAGTTATAGCAAACAGTACATATATATATATAAGAAGAAGTGAAAATGGAAATATATAAAGCAGAATGAAACAAAATGATGATATTACACTAGAGAAAAGAATATATATGATATGTGAGCAGTTCGGTACCCTATTAAAAAGCAAAAAATAAAAATAAACATTTTTTTAAAAAGTAACAAGATATTTAAAGGAGGTACACAGGCAATTTTAAATAAATAGAGAACTAAATGTATTCTATATAAAATAAAAATAAAATAGGTTGGTGTGTTATAGTGCAGTAATGGCACCAATTTACCACTCCTGAATCCTTCTCATTTCTCTTGGAAATTTTAGTTACATCATAAGTGGGGTGACTTGTTCCACTCCTTGATATGGACACAAATGTAGGGCTTGCCCTAGAAAATAGAACCTTAGGAAACTTAATGCAAGCAGAGGCTTAAAATCAGCTTGTGCATGTGGGTTTGGACATTCTAACCTCTGCTATCACCACAAAAGCATCCCTAGTCTGGCCTGTTAGAAAAGGAAAGACAGGTGTAATAGTGTAAAGTTCTCCAGTGTGCTAGGTTCTAGTCACCCCAGCTGACTGACAGTCATTCAATAGCCAGACATGAACTGAACCAGGAAAAACAGAGTTACCTAACCACCTCCCATATGACTCCACAAGTGTGAGTAATAGCTGCTTAACATCAAATCCCACTGAAGGTTAAGAGTTTTATTTTATTTTGGCATCACTGTGACATCATATAGTCGATTTCATCAGCAACATTAATATCAAGTAAAGAGAATAAAAACAAGTCATCAACTGATACAGTGAGTGCGGTGGCTAATGCTTATAATCCCACCACTTTGGGAGACCGAGCTGGGTGGGTCACCTGAGACCAGCCTGGCCAACATGGTAAAACCTCGTTTCTACTAAAAATACAAAAATTAGCTGGGTATGGCAGTGGGCGCCTGTAATCCCAGCTACTTGGGAGGCTGAGGCAGGAGACTCGCTTGAACCTGGGAGGTGGAGGCTGCAGTGACCGAGATCACACCACTGCACTCCAGCCTGGGTAACAGAGCAAGACTCTGTCTCAAAACAAACAAACAAACAAACAACAACAACAAAACAGTTATCAAATGATACAAAAAAAGGTAAACTAATGTATTGTCAAACTCTTGAACATTAAATTGATTCAATTCTGCTAGATTTAGGAATAGAAAGAAAAATAAGATTCTAGACAACAAAACCTTACAGGAATCCCTGATAAGATTGTAAGTGGACTCTTCAGCAGAAACTTTGCAGGGCAGAAGGCAATGGAAATATATATTTTAAATGTTGAAAGAAAAAACTGTCAACCTAGAATTCCATATCCAACAAAATTATCCTTTAAAAATGAGGAAGAAATTAAAACATCCCAACATTCCCACACGAGCATAAGCTGGGAATTCCTTACCTCTAGACCCACTCTACATGAAATGTTAATGCAAGTCCTTCACATTTAAATGAAAGTACACTAGACAAGTAACTAGAAGTCATACAAAAATATAAAAATATAAGATTCTCTGGTAAAGACAAATATATGACAAATAAAAACAGTTTTGCTTTGTAACTTTACTTTTTATTTTCTACAAGACTTAAAAGACAAATGCATAAAAATAATTATGAATGCATGTTAATGTTAATGAGTACATGATATATAATGATGTAATCTGTGTCATCGGTAAAATTAAGTAGGGGAGGGTGGAACTGTAAAGAAGTAGAGAATTTTGTTATGGTATTGGAGTTAAGTCAGTATCAATTTTAAAAAGATAATGACTTTTGGCTATTATGTGTAATCCTCAATGTAATCAGAAAGAAAACATCTATAGAATATTTAAGAAAATGAGAAGAGAATCAAAACACACTGCTACCAAAAAAAAAAAAAAAAAAATCGATTAAACACAAAGAAAGGCAGTAGTGGAGGAAATGAGGGACAAAAAGCTTTAAGTCATACAGAAAACTAATAACAAAGTGGTAAAAATAAGTGCTTTGCTATCAATGATAATTTTAAATGTAGGTAGACTAAACAACCCCCCCAACTGGAAACATATTGGCAGAATGAATAAAAATCAGGATCAAACTATATGTTATCTACAAGAGACTCAGTTTAGATTTAAAGACATATACATTGAAACTTAAAGAATGAAAAAAGATATTCAATGCAAAATGTAACAAAAAGCGAGCAGAAATGCTGCACTAATATCAAGCAAATTAACTAAGTTAAAATCTATTACAAGAGACAAATATATTAAAATGCTGAATCAGTAAAAATTCTTAGAAGAAAACAAGGGTGAAACCTTCATACGTTGGATTTGGCAATGATTTCTTGAATGCTACAAGAACAGAACCACAGGTGACAACCAAAAAAAATGAGTAAATTGGACTTAATCAAAATTAAAACTTTTATGCATCAAAGGACATTATCAACAAAGTAAAAAGGCAACCCACTGAATGTGAGAAAATATTTATTAATCATATATCTGATATGGGATTAATTCCAGAATATTATAATGAACTTCTATAACTCAATAACGAAAACACAAACAACCCAATTAAAACTGGGCAAAGAACTTAAATAGACATATCATTGAAGATATCCAAAAGTTCCCTAAGCTTATGAAAAGAAGCTCAATATCACTATCACTAATAATTGGGGAAACATAAATCAAACTTACAATGAGATGCCACTTCCTACTTATTATGATAACTTGCTAAAAATACACACACACAAAAAAAATGGAAAATAACAACTGTTGATAAGGATGTACAGAAATTGGAACCATTGTGCATTCTTGATGGGGATATAAAATGGCGTAGCTGCTGTGGAAAATGGTATGGTGGCTCCTCAAAAGTTGAAAATAAAATTAACATTTTATCCAGCAATTCCACTTCTGTATATATACCCAAAAGAATTGAAAACAGTAACTGGAAAAGATATTTGTATACCCATGTTTATAGAAGCATTATTTGCAATAGCTAAAAGATGGAAGCCACGCAAGTATCCATCAACAGGTGAATGAATAAACAAAACCTGGTAGATATCTAGAATGGAATATTGTTCAGCTTTGAAAAGGTTAAATTGACACATACTACAATAAGAATAACTTTGAAGACATTATGTCAAGTGCAAATAAACTGGACATAAAAGGACAAATACCATATAATTCCATTTAAATGAGATACCGAGAGCAGTCAAATTTATACAGAAAGAAAGTAGGACTGTGGTTGCTCTGGGCTGAGGGAAAACGGGAAATGAGGAATCATTTAATAGGCATAGAGTTGATGTGTACAGAATTTGAGTTTGAAAAGTTAAAAAATTCTGGCGATGGGTGATGATCATGGTTGCATGACAGTGTGCATGCAGTTAATGCCACTAACCTATAAACTTTAAAATGGCTAAAATCATAATTTTTTCTCTGTGTTTGACCACAATTGAAAGAAAACAAAACGCCACATTTTCTTAATCCAATCTGTCACTGATGGACATTTGGGTTGATTCCAAGTCTTTGCTATTGTGAATAGTGCTGCAATAAACATACGTGTGGCATTGTGTCTTTATAGCAGCATAATTTATAAATCTTTGGGATATATAACCCGAGTAATGGGAATGGCCTGTGGTCATATGTAACCTACTCTAGATCTTGAGGGAATCGCACATACTGTCTTTCTCCCCATGAATGGTTGATACTATGTTTTACAATCCCAACCAACAGTGTTAAAAGTGTGTCTAATTTCTCCACATCCTCTCCAGCACCGTGTTGTTCCTGACTTTTTTAATTGATCGCCATTCTAAACTGGTGTGAGATGGTATCTCATTGGGTTTGATGTTGCAGTTACACCAGTGGAATTACTAGCGAGCCATAAAAAGGATGAGGTTGTGTCCCTTTTGTAGGACATGATGCAGCTGGAAACCAGTCATTCTTAGCAAAACTATCTACGGAAGACAGAAAACCCAAGACACCCGGCATGTGCTTCAGCTCATAGGTTGGGACTAAACAAATGAGGATTCACTTGGACTCAGGAAGGGGAACACTCACACACCGGGGGCCTATCATGGGGAGGGAGGATGGAGGACTGCATGGGGCTGATTATCTGATGTAAATGACGAGGTGTGCAGGCACAGCAACGATGGCATGCCAAGTACTACATAGTAACAAAACCCGCACGTTATGGCACATGTTTACCCTACAACTTAAAAGTATAATAATAATAAGATAAATTAAAAAAAAAAAAAAAAAAAGAAAAACAAAACATTCAGAATCCAATTTCTGTCATTACAGATATCTCATCCCCTCATCCCAGATTTGCCTTACTGCTGTAAACAACGAGAACAGTGGATAAAATATATGCGAACAAAATTAGACACTGGACAACAAAAAACATAGAATTGTGAT